CATCAGCAACCAACCATGATAACCAATGTTTGATCCCAAAACATCAACCAAAACCGACGTTTTTCGTTTTGCTCCGTTTCGGCCACACCTTCCTTTCAGGCCGCGGTGGGAGCCCTCGCGCTCGGCCGTCCAGCACGGACGGTCCGATAGACCGGTGGTTCGGAAAAACGCGGCGCGAGGTGGGCGAAGTGCTTCGGTCAGAATGTCCTTATCGGTTTGTTGGCGTAAGGTGACTTGCTTATGGTCAGTTAATGCTCAGTGATTGGTATGAAGTGGCTGAGTGAGACCTATGTGGGTTTACGGAGTAAATGTTTGATTTCAGTGGGTGTTTATGGTTGGCCCCACATCGTTTCCCTATGGCGTTCTTTGTTAGGTATGACTGGCTAGTAATTGCGATGTTATCGATGTGACCAGTCTTCTGTCAAGGTAGGCATTGTCGGAACATCTGTGGCGCTTGACTTTTGGCCCGTTAGAGTTCACACCTGGAGCGGTCCTGAAGGGAGGTAGGCTGCCCAGACGGCCCGAGCCTTTGGAGCTTCGGCAAAATGCGCTTGATGTGGTGAGGAGGTTGGCAATCAAGTTCCATGTTGATGACTGGGGCTGCTGAAGCCCAGTGAGCTATCAGAAAACATGCTGGCAGGCTGTTACATCAACTTCTTGACAGTCACACGACTTGTGTTTTGGACGGCGCAATTGTGCCCAGGCCTGATGGCCTGATGGGCTGTTGTAACGGCCATACCCAGGACGGAGGGGAGCACCTTTGCATCTGAGCGTTCCCTCGTTTTTCTTGTTTTTCGCCGGACACCTGACGCGTGGCAGACGGAACGACGACAGCCCCGTGAGGTGCACCCGGTTTCACCGAATGAGGCCCGGTGACGCGACGAAGCGACGGGTGAAGCGGAAGACGGAGGGTACGCCGAACAAACCGTTTCGTTCATCCGCAAAGTGGACTGATGTAGATGAATCGGTGGATTGCAAGAATACAGGTAATTCCTCAAGGCTAGACCGATTGGTATCGGTATGTAATCTTTCGAACTGATGATTCACTCAAAGCTCGCGATCGGTGGACGGATCGCGCGACGACATGAGCTCTCTCACGATCCGTCGAATCACAGGCTGAGCCAACCCTGCAAAGCAGAGTTCATGGCCTGGGACTTTGAAATCGAGTAACGGCTGTAGCTGCATAGGGATTGGAGAATTAATGCGTTCCCAACGGATTCTGATGGCAATGTTTCCAGTTGAGCTGGTCGATTCTAGCCGTGTTCTTCAAGCAGAGTGGATCCTTCGCAGTGCTTCCTTCGAAGGGAGTCAACAATTGACAGATCCTCCCAAGTGAAGCGACATCTTGCCTCTGGATTTGACCGAATGAACGGAATCAAATCCCGAATCCTCCCTCTCCCAGGCCCAGCTGAGACGGTTGCGCAGGACTCGGTCTGGAGAATTCAGTGCTTGCTGAGATGGGTCATGACCACACAAAAGGACTAGGGCTCCGCAGACCACTCGTCGGAGGCCCATGAGACTCCGTACTTGAGTCGTGGAAGACAAAGAAACATGATGCATATCCCAAACACTCCGTGTATGATATATTTACATACATTGGGGTGGTTGACCTGGGGTCAATGTAGGCAAAAAAACGGTGCTAAGGGAGTGTTTGCATAGGTTAGTGTGGATTTCCGAATGAAAGGCCAGGCTGCATCGCTTCTTCCGGGGATGCAGCTATATGTCCATTGACTATTCAGATTGAGACATATGGACATATTGAGACCATAGTCTATTGGACTATAGTCTCAGATTGAGGCTACAGCCAATGAGAAGTTCACACTGACTATTGAGATTGTGTCGCACTCTCACGCGTGTGTGTGAAGCAGCCCGTGCCAGTTTATGTGTCATGTTGGAACTTTCATTGATAGGTTCATCTAGGTCTATTGGCAGCGGTACAAAAAAAAATGTGTCCGTAGTTGCGAAAGTATTAAGAAGAAAGGTGGTATGCAACCGCGAGTTGGATGACCCCCACAGGTGTTTCCAGCAAGTTATGCGGATAATACAAGGCAAGAAGCCGAGAGTGGCAAACCAATTTAAACACCGCGACATGTGTTCACTTGTGCTGCATGCATCTGAATG